TAGGGAAAGTTTTTTATTTTTTGACCTCCACTGTTCAAAACTGAATTTCTGGGAGCAAATATGCCAGGACTTATTACATTGCAGTAGTTAGTTAAATCTGTGCCATCTTGTTCTGTGGTAGGCCTGCTAAGCTCAGTGAGGGGCACCAGCAAGGTTTGTCCCCAGGCAGCTTAATTCTGCTTGCCAGAATGGAGAGCTGGGTGTTCAGAAAGAGCAGGATGGGATGATCACACAACTCAAATAGGAAAGTTAAGTGTTTTATTTTTCATATCACTTTATTACTTCTTGGCTCACCTTTCCACTTCAAAGTTCACATCATAATAAGCCTGAGTGTTTCCTGATGTGACACAACAGGGCACTGGTCTCAGAGGTGCCCATTGCCAGAGCTAGGAAGCCTGATCCTCCTTCATATATAAGCAGTGTGATCGGTAGAAATTCTTGGATCTCCAGAAGACAAACAGCAAAAGAAACTGCAATTCTAACTAAAGCACCTATACTGGAGTAGGATTATTTAAAGGGCAAAACTAACAAAATTCAATTGTAATTAGTGTTTGCTTGAACAGTTGTGAGGGCTTTACCAAAAGGCAGGGTGCTCTCATCCCAGAGCCTTGCTCTCACCATGGGGTGTGCTTATCAGAGGGACTTGTCAGTTAAAAAACTGACATAACAGGGTGCATGGAAAACTCCCCTGGGCCCCCAGTTTCAGACAGGTTATTGCAGACCATCCTCCAGGAAAAGCAGCCAAGTGGTGGTACGAGCCATGGTATCTCTCTGAGTTGGAGAGATGTGGATTTGATGGGTGGACTGTTTGGTGGATAAGGAGTTGACTGGATGGTTGCATCCAGATGGAAGTGGTCAATGTCCAGATGGAGATCAATGACAAGTGGTGTCACTCAGGGGTCCATAATGGGATGACTGCTGTTTAATATATTCAGAACTTAATATATGTTAAGTTCTGAACATTAAAGGGATGGTGCAGCCTGTGAGAGAGACGCTTGTGCAGTGAAATTTATATATATATAGCTTAAGTCATCTTGTGACATTGAGATAAGGAGAATGGGACAACTCTATAGGAGAAAGCCTTAGGGATGCTGGATACCACAACTGAATGGGCTGAGTCACAGCAGATATTCTGTGCATGACAAATTCTCCTGTCAACCTACTTCCATAAATAAGTGCTTCTCCAAACTGTCCTGTGGATGCAGATCCAAATCAGAGGATAAAACACACTGAACAGATCGAGAGTGGAATTAGAAATAAGAAGTTTGATGACTCAATATTTTACTTAAACCTGAAAGAGAAACTATTCTAAACCTCATTAATTCAAAACAAAGGCCCCAATAATGTAAGATTTATATTTCACTCTAGGCAGATGAATATTCATAAGACATACAAAAGAAAAACACCTGCAGATGTTTCTTGGGCCAATGAAAATCTTCCTTCAGTGTATTTTTCATGTGTTGTCAGTGAGTTCTATCAACACCAGGAAAAACAACTCTTTTTTTTGCCCTTGTAATTAACGTGAGGAGTTGCTTTTATTTTGCTGCTTGTCACTGTTGTTCTAATTATCTCAGGCAGCCCCCAGATTCCTGTTTTCTGTTAGCTATAGCTCATGTTCTCACACAGCTTCATGCATAATTTCAGGTAACACAGGAGCTGACTGAACTCTGTTGTGAAGAGGTATTCATCAGCCTGGCTGCAACCTTCTTCATCAATTACAAGTACTCCCAGCAGATGTAATCTCTTACTGGCTTTTAATTGGATCCTTGCAACAGTAGGATTTATGGGCTTTTTTCCCCAAAATTCATTTTATTACAGGAGCTTTGTGGTAGTTATGGATTCTGCAGTGATCAAAATCTGATGGAAACTACTAGGCCAAAATCAAACTAACAGAATGATAATAGAGCTGATGTCATCTGAGGAGCATTAACCTTAATGAAAACACAGAAAATCAATGTGAAAGGCCAAAGGAGAAATTACTTATGCATCAGTCAAGTCAAAATTAATCATTTTAAGAGGCTTCAGGAAGAGAGAGGATTTTAGCCCAGGAATACTAACAAGAAGACACAGGCTGAAGTAGGTCTTTGTAGGAAGGCAAGATAGTAAGTCTACTAGCACAAATCAGGAGGGATGAGGAACTGTGAAGAGTGAAAACACAATACACTGAAACATGTTTATACAACAGGGAGGATATTCCTTTGTTGTTGTCCTCACTTTCTAAAGTCCAGAGGACAGATGTGCTATCATGGCAGGTGGCCACGGCCAGCAGATGCTCACTAGCACAGGTTTAAGAGCACAACCCTAACCACACCAAGTGTGGAGTAGGAGCCAGAAGCATTTTATTCCAATTCAGATATAAAATTCAGACTGGGAAGGTGCCAAAACAGTCTTGTGGGGTAGGTTTGAGATTTGTGAGCAGCAAGGTATCTCTAGATTTGCCGACTTCAAGTTGCAGGAGCGAGCACACCATCGTTACTCCAGTTAGATGGAGAGTAGGGGGATGTGGTGATGCTCTGTGATTAGCCTGGGTCACACTGGCAATTAGCAGCCAGAGGGAGAGAAAATATGAGAAACACAATGTCCTGATGGCTGCCCATGGCTTTATGCCCATGCCAAGATAGTGCACAAGGTGTTTCCCTGTTTCCATTGTGGATGAGCAGCAATACAGAGCTCGGCCTGCCAGCTCCACCATGCTTCTCCCCATCTCCTGTCATTATTTATTGTTCCAGCTCCTCTGAAACACCTTTGCATGAGCATCGCTCAGGCAGATGCATCCAGAATGAGTTAGCCCAGTGTGCGTGGACTGTGGTTTTCAGGAGAAACCCCAACACTGAGAGAGTCTTACATGGCACACACCAGACAGTTTGGTGGACAACCATTCAGCAGAGCACTTCAGCTCCTCAGTGAAGCATTTCCTGGAGCTTTTTTTTCTGCCAGCTGCTGGAACTTCTACTCAATTCCTTCAGCCACCACGGAATTTCTGTCCTTAATTTATCTTTGCCAACTCTACTGGTACCATTGGCCATTAAGTACTGGAAACATCCTCTCTTTGTGTATCATCTAGCAGGATGGATGTAGTGCAAGAGCCTTCAGACCCGAGCTCAAATCCTTCTGTTTCGGGGGCAATTTTGGGATGATCTCTGAGCGTAACTGCTACAAGAGGAAAGGGACTAGAGCAACGAGCTCAAAGAGATCAGGAACATTATTTTTTCACAGAATCATGGTTGCTCACAGCAAAGAAATACTGGACTACAAATGCTGCCAACCGCACAGGACAACGACACCCGAGTTTTGATTTGCTGGGTGAACACAAGTGCGGAGGAGATCCCCAACACTCCGCCGGGCGTGCGCGCTCCCCGCCCAAACCCCAGCGCGCGTCCCCGCGCCGCCCGCCCACAACCAAGATGGCGGCGGT